CCAAATAATGAATCTTGGCTAATACACAGAATTTATAAATATTTTTCAATAGCAATATACTGATCTTATCTATACAAGGGGGCAGCAATTTCCAAGTAGTTGTTGACTGAGCGCATACCCGAAGCTGTGCCAGTTAAATTTCTTGTTTTCCCGATATGGTATGTGTTGATGTGTGCGTGAATCTCTGTACTTTTTTGCTAGTCCAAAATCTATGATATAAACAAGGTTCCCCTTCTTGCCCAAGCCCATGAGAAAGTTGTCTGGCTTTATGTCTCGGTGGATGAAATTCTTGCTATGGATGTATTCTATCCTTGTTATCTGCAAAGAATGCAACAAAAAATTTCAGATCAACAAAAAACAAATTTACCTTCACTTTAATAACAAAGTGTTGTCTTTATAAACAAACTATATGAAAAAAAGTGTAAGCTAATCTTCACTCTAAATAATACTAGCTGATATCAATATTACAGGTATCATGAAATATTCTTAAAGTAAACTCCTTAATTTCACAAAAAGCTATAAATGCAATTTTCAATACATTGCAACAAATGCATATGAAACTACCATGATTACATTACAATGATTGTTCCAGACACATTTACAAATAAAACTACCAGAAAAAGCTTAGAAAATTGAAGGATATTCAAGTAATTTGAACCACCCCTACTTTGCAAATGGATCCAATAATTAACATTAACAAGACTGTCCTCTAGCTCTCTCTCTCTCTAGCTCTCACTCACTCACTCACTCACTCACTCACTCACTCACTCACTCACTCACTCACTCACTCACTCACTCACTCACTCACTCACTCACTCACTCACTCACTCACTCACACACACACACACACACACACACACACACACACACACACACACACACACACACACACACACACACACACACACAAAGATTTTTAACGTTTTTCGGTAATGCCCCTCTAATATCATGCAAATCAGCCTATACTCTTGACACCCCGTCAGCTGATAGATTACTCATCTAACTCCATATTGGTGGTTTCAAATATCACTCAATTACCTATGGGCAGTGATAGTGAGCAGAATTCCTACGTGTTTTTTTCATGAATAGCCTAGCATTTTGCCTGAGTTCTGTTGCTGTTTTTGGCTAGTGTGTTGTGATGGGTGGAGCTAAATATATGAAAAGTGATCAGGTTGCTGCTATTACAGCATTCTGTAAGGCAGGAAAGTCCAATACTGAAATATCAAATACAACTCGAATTTCACTGCGAAGTGTCCAGAGGTGGACAACAAAATCTCATTACTGTGGAGACACTCCAGCTGCAGAGAAAAAAGCAACCAGGGAGGCCACAGAAAACATCTAAACGAACATTAAATGTGCTCAGGAGGCAGGTGGATAGGCAGCCACGAATAACAGCACCAGAATTAAAAGAAAGGAACCCTGTGTTACTGGCTGATGTGTCTGTGAGACCACAGAGC